CTTTTTGCTGTTCGATATGCACAAGATAATTCAAGCAAATATTGGTCCCATTTTTTATGATTTTCCTTAACATAGCAAGAGATCATTGTTTTTATTACCCTATTAACCCTTTCTGTAAAATTTGGTTCTGGATGATAAAGAGGGTAGCTAAAAATTTTATATTACATTTATTTAATAATGCACTAAATTCTTTACTTTTATATTGTGCTTTCCGTTATCAGCTTTTTAAAAATTCACAGCACACAAATAAAATGATTGTTCTATAAGTTCAGATACTTTGGAAGCAGTAGCTTTACGTAATGGAAAAATAATGAGAATTTACTAAAAATAATCTGAGTAAGCTTAAAAATATATTGGTGACCTTTACTACTACGAGGTAATGGACCTACTAAATCTGTTGCCACATATTGCCAACACCGCTTAACTACAGGTTTTTCACCCATCATTCCAGCTTTCATTCTTTGTTCAGGCTTTTGCTCACCACACACTTTACACTTATTTACATATTTACAAACTTCAGACTTCATACCAGGCCAAAAATAATGTTCACTAATTTTTACTTAATTAAGTTTTAAAAATACCCTAAATGTCCACCATTTAAAGGATTATCATGATACTTAGCTAATAAAAGTTTTCTTTCAGATTTTGGTACTACTTTTTTCCAGGATGCGTCATTGACATGATCCCTATGTTTACCTACATGTTTATACAAGTCGCCATTTCCCGAAGTACGCCAATTTGGATATTGTAACGGATTATTATTAATATTTTCATTTTTTCAATCCAATTGTCTGTTTTACCCGTGTCTAGTTTTATATTTAACATATCGAGTTTTAATTGTCGACTTAAGCAATCACAATTTGTGATTTTATTTTACCAGGTCACATGAATGATATTAAAACCGTAAGCTTGTAAGCGCAATGCCCACCTACCTAATCTACCTTGAGGGTTCTTTAAATTATGGAGCCATAACAAGCTATGATGGTCAGTTACAACTGTGAAATGAGTCCCTTCTAAATAACATCTGGCTCGTTCTACGGCCCAAATAACACTTAAACATTCTAATTCTGTGACTGTGTACTTACGTTCACATCTGGTTAATGTACGAGACATATAGCAAATTACGTGTTCTTGACCATCATATCTTTGCAAAACGACTGCCCCTAACCCATATGAACTAGCATCACATTCAACAATAAATTCCTCATTAAAGTTTGGACAAGATAAAATTGGAGCACTGACTAGACAATTTTTAATTTGTTGATAAGCTTCTTCACACTGGGCAGACCAAACAAATTTTGCGTTTTTTCTGGTTAAATCAGTTAAAGGCGATACTAAACTTGAGAAATGTGGTACAAACCGTCTATACCAAGATATCATACCTAAAATTCTACGAACTTCTTTAGTTGACTTTGGTTTTGGCATGTCTACAACTGCACTAACTTTGCTTGGATCTACCTGCAATCCCTGTCTATTGATTATGTAACCTAAAAATTTTAATTCGCTCCGACAAAACTGACATTTATCTTTATTTAAAGTTAACCCTGACTCTTTAAGGCGCTTAAATACTTCTTCTAATACCGAAAAATGAGTTTCAATATCAGGCGTTACAATTACTATATCATCCAAATATTTAAAACAATATGGCTCTAATTCCGGACCGAAAAGTTTATCAACCAATGCCTGAAAAGTAGCGGGCGCATTAGTTAAGCCAAATGGCATTCTATTAAAATGAAAAAGACCTCTTCCTGGTATTGCAAAGCTAGTATACTTTTACTATTTTTCACTCATTTTTATTTGCCAATATGCGCTTTGAATATCTAATGTTGATAAATACTTTGCATTTCCTAAACGATCTAAAATAGTACTTAAATTTGGTAATGGGTATGCCCACTTTTCAGAAATTGAATTAATTTTCCTAAAATCAACGCAGAACCTATATGTGTTGTCTTTTTTCGGAATCATTACTATTGGAGAACTATAAGAACTTGTGCTTTTCTCAATTACGCCTAGCTCTAACATTTTTGTTATTTCTAAGTCAATTTTGTTTTGGATTGCCTGACTTACTCTGTAATTTTTTCTGTTTAATTGAGGAGATATTTTTGAGGAGTTACAATAATTTCATGTTCCACTAACGATGTACACCTAACTTAATATGTTTTTATTGAATCAAAATACTTTTCTACAATAATATTTAACTTTTCTCGTTGTGCTAAAGATAAATCATCTGACGTTGAAATAGAATTTGTGACTAAGATATCTTTATGATCTTGTTCCCCAAAATGCCATTCACCCCTTCTCAAATCTGGTACAATCCCCATTTTAATCCAAAATTCGGTTCCTAGCACTAACCTATGCCTAAGATTGTTTAAAATATATACTTGGAATACGACTATTTTGTTTTTAAGCTTAATTGGCACTGACATAAATCCTAGACACTCGAGTTCAGAGCCATTTGCGACAGTACAAGTCAAGTCAGAAATACTTTGTAGTTTTACCCCTAAACTTAACATCACATTCATAGTGTGCTCATTGACAAATATTCTATTCGCCCCAGAATCAAGCAACCCTTTTACTTCCCAATCATATAACCTAACTGAAACATATGGACATTCACCATCTCCGGCCTGAGTTAACATGTAGTCTAAAATTGGTTTACTATATGTGTTAAAGTTAAACAGTTCATCCTTAGAGCAAAAATTATCAATACTAGAATCTAAGTCAAAATTATCAACCGATAAAACCGTCGAAGTTGAAGCTCGGTTTACACTTAACTCCTCGAACCGTTTCCCTGTTTATTACATTTTGGACAACTAACTTTTGTATAACCTAATAACCCACAAGAAAAACACTTTTTGACCTGCGCTTTACAATGTCTTGCTAAATGATTATCCCCATTACATCTATAACACTTAACGACGTTCCCTCTAGTGTTATTATCCAAATCCCTATTATAACTATCATACCTACTATTTCTATGTTCCCTATAACTACCTAAATCAGATCTATCCCTACAGGACGACCTGCCCCTATTAAAACTATTTTCCTTAGGCTGATTCCCAGCAAAATAATTCCATTATTTCATTTTGAATCTGGCTTTCATTATAATACCTCTCTGGGGTATTATGACGTTCCCTACTTCTGTCTTTATAAAATCTGTCCCCATTATAACTTTCAACACTACTCGAACGATCGTTACTCCTATTCCTATAAAATCTACCTCTATTATATGACCCATCTCTCCATTTATTTACTGTCCCAGTTCGTCTGTCTTGTTCCCTAACGCTACCCCGATTTAACCTATCGTTACTAATTTCTATTTCTACCTAAGGAGCATTCTATCTGTATTTTCTCTATCTGAACTATAGTTTCTACTTTTATTATTTGAAATTTTTTTTTTTTTTTTTTAGTTTTTTTTAAAACTGACTTGTTTCTCTGCTTCCAAACTATCTAACCTTTTTCTACTTTGTTTATCAATCGCATTAGCCTTATATAGCAAATCTGGTTCAACTGAGTGCTTATCTACTGTTGGCGGTACAAAATTCAAAACATTCACTCTACTATCCTCAATTCGTTTACAAAGCTTAATAAGTTCATCCACTGTAGATATGTCCACTAACCCTAGCTATGCCTGACAAATGCAAAACATTTTCCAAAAAAAAAAAAAACAGTTTCTGTTTTATTTATATATCTGTTATAACTATATTAGCATGCCATAAATTGTTATGACTCTCGTTCCCCTTGAGTTCTGATTTGACTTGCCCCAGCAACCTTCCATAATCCCTAGGCAAAAATTCTTCCCTGAAATGTTCACATAAAGTTTTCCAATCAATGACTTTCCCTTTTAATGCCCTGTAGAAAATAAGAGCCTTTCCCTCAAAAATTTCAATAGCACCCCTGAATAAATCATCATGTGACACATTATGAGCTTCACACAGTTCTTCAATTCTTTCTAAAAATGCATTTAATCCCATTGTATCTGAATCCCCACTAAAAGCAAACCCCACGGAAGAAAATAAACCCCTTTTGTTAAGACTTAAATTATTCATTAATACTGGCAGCCCAGTTGCATTTTGATTTTCAGTTGCATTTGAACTAGCATTGGAGTATAATCAATTTACAACAAGGCATATATAAATGAAAAGTAATACTCGATATATACCCATGGACTTGACGAGTATGTCACTACGAAATACACTCCGTCCACTCATTACATTGACAACTTGCAAATTTGTCGAGTTTTTATTGACGGGGCATTCTCTAATTTTTAAGGGGAAATATCAATTCAAATGATAGTAGATCGAGCTTCAAGAACAGTGCTGGCGTTATCGGTAAAATAGTTGTGTGATTTTATTATTTTTTTATTTTTTTTCTTAATTTTTTATTTTTTATAAAGATTAGGTCTGAAAAAAATAAAACTGATTTGATATTTTTTAATTTTTTGGGTGAGTAATGGTTTTTAAAATATTTATAGCACGCCCATAAATTGCTTGTTAACAGATAATTTTGTTTTTCCCCTTACAAATACTTCTGTAGCTACAGAGCGGATTGACGTACTGGATAATCTTGAACGAGTAAAAATAGCAATACGATAAGGTTATAATAATGAAATTGGTACAGGAAACTAACACAATATGTTTTACAGGTTGCAGCGTTTCCGGAATATTTAGAAAAAATACTCTTTGAATAAAGCTTAACTGCTAAAGAGCATAATTAATATATCTTGTTTAAATATTTTTCAGAATTTTTAATTTATCTGGCGCAGTCGGTTGGATTGCATAATTTATCTTGATTTGATTCACACTTTCTATTTTCTGTTATAGATAGGGTTAATACAGTCTATTAGCTATTTTCCTGGAACAGTCGGTAGAATAAATAAGATAAAATAATATGTGATATAAACTTTAATAGCCAAAAATTATTAATAAAGTACTAAAAAAGTAAAGAACTCATTACCATGTATTTCCGGCAATATTTAGAGAAAAAACAATATTAAAAACTTACGTATAATGATCGTAGCAAATTCCAGTAAACCCACAATCTGTCATAGTACAAGATGGACTTCTTGGACCCCCATTGGTTATTTCGTAGGTTATATTGAACCCATAAGCGTCAAGGAACTTGTCTAGAACCCTCAGTTGAGAAGACTCCGCTGTTTGGAGTTTCAGCTCGATGACCAGGAAGCTCTGGTACGTTTGAACCCAGCGGGTACGTACCACGTTGGTCTCGTTGACTTTGTGGATGATTTTCGGGTTGATTTTGTAGTCGCTGCCGTAGAGTTGATACTCGGTGAAGGTTAAACCTAGAAGAAAAAAACGAAAAATAAAATAGAAAAGAAAAAATAAGTATTTTTACAGTTACAGATTTTTGTTAGATATCATTTTTAAAGTATCAGTGTACTGAGTGATAAATAAATAAGCAGGAAACAATTATTAGCCTTGTTCTAACAGGGAAATATCCAACCGGTTGTCAATTTGTGTCTGCGGATCATTGGTTTCTGGAATGTACTTCTGCAAACGACCAATCGAAAATGTCAACGAATCAGGTGAATCACGCTCGGAATCACGTGACAATTAACCTGTGACAGTTTTGTTCTCTATTTATGTATTTTATGAATTAATTGGCAAATAAAATAAATATATATTTTGTGCTATCATAATTTTTTTGTCTTATTAAATTTTTTGTTGTGTTATTAAATGTTCTAATGTATATTAAAATTGTTCCTAGTATAGAAGGGTTCAAATATAGCATATATAAGTTCTTAATATTTCAAGAAATATAAAATGTTCTTGCCATATTTCATCGTTTTATTCATGTTGATGTTGAACAATGTTTTGTTTTTGCTCCAGCGTCAATTCGTAATCATAAAGGCGCATGACCAAAAATTGACCAGTGACTATTCTGATGATTAGAGATCAGTTGGAAACTTCAAATTTTTGTTCGGAAAACGCTGGATTTTTGGTTAGGAATCACGTATGTTGCTTTTCCGAACGCTTTATAATTCAGGCGCATGCGCCGGACTGTTGTAAGCTATTTCTGCCTGCCCTGCGAAGTTAATAATATATTTTTGTACTTTTGTGCTTAGGCGTAAAAGTGCTTTATTTTTATGCCTAGGAGTTAATAGTTATTTGTGGAACTAGTGCAAAAATAACATATTTGTTGCACGACGCATGAGTTTTGCAGCAATTTGCAATCATGCTACGAATGCAACAAATATGCTTTTTGCACATGTTGCACACAACATTTTTTCTACGATGTAATTGAAATTCTTATTTAAATGTATCTTAAAAAGTTTTTATAATTATTCATAGAATAATATTACCACTAACAATAACACTTTTTTTAATAACTTTTCGTTTCAATTTTAATGTAGCAGTTTGAAAAATTCACTATGATAATTGATGGACAAATTTTATTTCTAAGTAGTTTTTTGAATTTTATTTTGATTTCTGCTCGTGGAGGTCTCGAGTTCTTGTTCTCCGCTTAAAACTCTTTCCCTGAATATTGCTGCGAGGTGGCCAGTACTGCTACTTGGTTTATCTTCTAGGATTTGACAAATTTTTATAAAATTTACAATTTTTTTCTTTTTAGTTAAAGTCGTCTTTTATAATGTCAAGACGTTTTTTGCACTACTGCAAAAAATAAGTTACTTTTTACACTAGTGTAAAAAATTTGACTTTTAATACAGACAATGTAAATAATAGCTGCTTTTTGCACGATCGTAGAAAAAATGATTTCTTTATGTTGTCAATCACGTCGCAAAATTTCTTTTGTAAGATTTAAAAGAAAACATTATATCACCGTTATTTTTTATTATTAGTTAAATGAAAAACAATAAATAAAGAAAAATACAAGAATAAAAAAACTACTGGTACATAAATTATCTCTTCCGCTAATGGCTTTCTTAGTATTTATATCTAATACGGGAATTAACGAGCATGTATAGATAAGATAACGAAGTTTGCTCAAAGGGATTCATTATAGTTGACAAACGCGCGGCTCATAAACATCAACTTTATCCAGTTCCTTTTCACGTCTGACGCGTCTCTGGTATCTTATAATTGGTTTATCAGTAACTTTCCTAATTAATTCCTCTGCGTATATACCGAAAATTTTGAAGATAGCAACGACGAAGGCTCTTGTTTAACGGATCATTCGTATTTGCTCTATATTTTTATTATTAAATTTATACATAGATATTTTTATTTCTTACTGAATTTAGTATATTTTATTTACAACCACATAATGTAATACTGACATTACTGACTTTTAAAAAAATTGAAATTGTCAAATTATCTACATTTCTTCCCTCTTCCCATTTCCCTTACTCGGTTTTTCTTATTTCTCGCCTCATTTAATTAAGAAAAATATTCTTGTAATATCTTTATTACATACTTATCTAACATCAACAAGAATAAACAAGAAGATTAACAATAATAATTGAAGATTTTAATACATTTATTTGTTGAAATTAATGGTCAAATTTGACTTATTATACGCGTTAATCGATATTGTTAAGGGGCCGTCTTGATAATGTGTTTCACTCACTGAGGTTTCACTGCTGCAAAAACTAAACTCCTGACTTGTGCCAGGTCTTCTAATGTCAACGAAAGAAGGTAAAGAGTTTGAATTGCTACAGGAAGACGATGGCAACGATGTCTTTAAAGATATCATATTTGCGGTTTTAGTTTGGCTGGCTACAGATGCATCCACATAACCCTCAGCCACAGCACTGGATTTCCATCCCCCTAGACGCTTCAGCTGCGCTATTTACCAGCAACGTAGCCGCTGTTTGTCTAAAAGCATGACCTGTGTAGGTTTTCGCATTGGGAAGTTTCAAAAAGCTAGCAATTTTGTACGGAAATTTAGATATAGAATTGTATCCAAAGGGTTGATTTTGAGCTCTTCCTAATCGATATTGAACAAAAAATCTCTCATTTTCAATATCTTTTCGTAACTGTATAAATTCTTTCACAATTTCTATCCAACTTGTGTTAGTTATCATAAATTATCTGGTCATATAAGTTTTTGTATCGGGAATTTCTATGCAAATTTTGTTTTCTAAAATATCAATATGCGTAGTTTTCATCTTCAGTAGCTCATCACTTCGACATGCCCCAGATACACCTACTATAAGCGCAACCTAAAACAATAAAAATAAATATTTAAAAACAGAAAAAGAAAACATTTAAAAAAAAACCTTACTTTAATAGGAAGGAATTCTTGAGGTGCTTTCGTGAGAAAATCCTCCAAGTTTTGCCTGGTAAAATGCTAGACTTCTTTGGCTTAAAACCTACATTCTGTCGTTTTAAAAAAGCGACGAGTTTGTGATATTTTGATATGTCAGTCTTTTCCCTTAACTCTAGCATTGTCCGTATCATGCTGTACGTAGCCCAACGAGTAGATGGTTTTTTCTGCCTTGCCATGTCGCTAAAATATGCCATCAAGACTGTCTCGGAAGCAATATTTTTAGCATTTCTTTCGGCACATTATTTTTCGTATACTTTCAATGCTATTTTATATCGCCCCCTACTTTTCTCTGGAAGTAAATTGGCTTCTGCTCTTTTCGCAACTTCTCTAAGTTCTGGTGGAGTACCAATATTAAAGTAGTCTTCATTATCAGAACTTTCCGACAACATTCTGGTTTTCTATGTTATATAAATTCGAAAAAGCGAACGAGAAATTCAAAACTGTCACTTAGTTGTTTGTTTTGCTGTTGAAGGTTTGCGCCATAACAACCACTGGTACCGGTAACTATAGATATGGAAATGCCAAAACAGAAAACGACTAATTTTCGCATATTTATTTTTTTTTCAAAATAAAATACTGTCTCTATTTTTTAATTAATGATGTGGTTGTAAATAAAATAATATACAAACAAAGTTTTCATTATTGAAACACACAGTTTTCAGTAATGAGACACTTCCCTCCTCGCTATGTAATGTACTATTGTCCCATTCGAAAACGACATAATTGTTGTATTTATTAATCTTCTGGTGTATTTGTATTAACGCTGCTCGTTGGAACGTTGTGAGACTCCCCCGTTTTTGCGAAAGCTCGCGGACGCCGAGTTGCCTTGGTTCGGTTCCTCGGGCGCCACCCCCAACGTTTAAAGTGTTTGAGAGACCACTAGTGCCAATACGGGTAGCTTTTATACAGTGGAGATACCAACGAGTGATGAGATGAAAAGAAAATAAAACACACAATTAACTATAACGTAACACTAGGTTTTTATTTAACTAATTAATTATGTACAGAAGTAATCAAGGAAGGTTCACGTCCTCGAATCGTAACAATAGTGAAATAAAATGTATATTTAGAGACCCGTAAAGTAAAATTTACAATAACAACCGTGTACCTCTAGAGTTTTGATTGATTATTCCCGATACGTAACTCTCTGACTGATTCTATCACGCGAATTCAAAACGCTTTCCCGAAGTGACGTTCTATTAAACACGACGACGCGAGTTCCTGATCGGCGTCGGATTTAGCGGCGTCCTAATGAACACAGACACGTAGGTACCGGAGCAACACACTCTACCACGATGCGACTCTCTAAACGGCGGCGACGTCGTTACAGGCGTCCCGATGATCACAGCTAAATATTTATCGGAATGGCGTCCGTTTTGACAGCGAAACACGGACCTCGGATCGGCGTCGGAGTTAAAAGCGTCCCGTGACACACTTACGCGAGTCCTGGATCGATCGCGAAGTTAACTGCGTCCTGTGGGATACACAAACGCGAGTCCTGGATCGATCGCGAAGTTAACGGCGTCCTGTGGGATACACAAACGCGAGTCCCGGAGTGACGTAGACGTTAGCGACGCCTCGGCGACTTGTACGTCGTTTGAATAAGCGCAGCCCGCACACACACCGCCCGGTCAGGACAACCTCGGGATTTCGGCGAGATCCCGTCCAGCGTCACTGATGCAGGATGCCGTCCGGACGACACACCTAGAGAAATACGGGAGCTACAAAACCAGCCTCGGGATTTGGGCGAGATCTTGTTCTAGCTCCATGAATATTAGCGACCCGTGCGTTTACTGAACTACCTTAACCATTAGCTGTCTCACTCTCTCCCTTTTAACAAAAGAAATCGTTCCTCGCGTCCACGTGATCCGATCAAATATCCCCCAGCCTCCGTAGAGGTTCATAGTTGAATCTACCTGATCGCATTTAAGTTTTGCTATGTCTTTGCGTTCGCGCGATTATCTGCGCGAAACTATCTGAGCGAATATAAATATCTCTGTCTCCCTTGTCCCTGTAACGCGTTAAGGCAGTAAAGTAAACGTCATTAATAAT